GGATTCCATTGTCCGCCGCACCGTGACACTGCAGATTTCCTGCTGGATCTGGGCACGAATCAGCAGACCAAGTACCAGGATACTCTGCCTGCAGGGATGTTCAAGCACCCACGTCTACCAGTCGAGTTTGGGCAGGTATTTGAACGCTCAGGCGTACACCGTGACACTCTTGCTCGTTTGGAGGAACCTTGGACAGACGAGTTACTCTCCAATGTGAACGAATTTATAAAGTTAACACCGGAGTATCAGCAACCGTTTGTTGAAAATGCGATCACGTTAACACGACGGCAGATGATGATCGCGATGCGGAACAAAGCTTTTATCCGCGTACGAGGCCTCATGGTGATCGTGGTTGCTCTCCTGTACGGCAGCCTGTTTTACCAGTTGGAGCCTACGAACGTTCAGGTCACAATGGGCGTTTTATTTCAGAGTCTGTTCTTCCTTGGACTAGGACAATACGCACAGGTCCCGGGCTACTGCAGCATACGTGGCATCTTTTACAAGCAGCGTCGAGCGAGCCATGTCCGCACTTCTGCGTACGTGTTGGCGTGTTCAGCCAGCCAAATTCCATGGGCGTTGGGTGAGACGGTGGTGTTTGGTACGCTAGTGTACTGGATGTGTGGCTTCGTTGCCACCGTGGGGAATTTCTTGCTGTACGAGCTGCTAGTTTTCCAGACATTGATGGCGTTTGCAGCTTGGTATTTCTTCATGGCAGCCGTGGCGCCAGATATGCACATGGCAAAACCAATGTCGATGATGTCCATCTTTACGTTTGTTGCGTTTGCGGGCTTCGTGATCCCGAAGAACCAGATCCCAGACTATTTTGTGTGGATTTACTGGTTAGACCCCATTGCCTGGTGTCTGCGAGCTGTCGCCGTTAGTCAGTATCGCTCATCTGCATTCGATGTGTGCGAGTACGCTGGGATCAATTACTGTACGGAACACAAAATGAAAATGGGCGAGTACTTCTTATCGTTGTATGATGTACCATCGGATGAGAGCTGGGTTTGGCTTGGAGTGGTGATGCTGTTTGTCATCTACGCTGTGTTCATGGTACTTGGATGGGTTACTCTCGAGTACAATCGATATGAAAGTCCTGAACATATTACGTTGACTGCTGAGAACACCGAACCCGTTGCTACTGATGACTACGCACTTGCAACGACGCCCACCAGCGGACGAAAGACTCC